TTAGATTTCGGCATTAAATAACCGATAGAAGTGTTGATATGCCGCTAAATAAAACAATCAGTTGATAGTTAGTCCTTTCTTCTAGCCTTCCTTTACTACCGTTTTACCTGGCTGACTGTTTACTTCTTACAACTGTTTCTTAGTTCTCTATTCTCGCTTTTCTTTACTACATTTATCTCTTGCTGATGATTATACATTCTGTCTTCATATAGTTGATAATTAGTCCTTTCTTCACGCTTTCCTTTATTAGAGTTTTCTTTTGCTGATGACTATACATTCTGTCTATATTTTCAAACTACTCTCTGTGAAGCATCACCTATCGGTTCAAGAATTCTTCTTCCGATGCTCGCAGATCACAGCCACAAATCGCAATAAGGCGAAGTTGAAACAAATTCACGGAGTCACTGGTCGGCATTGTTTGTTATTATTCCGCTCCTATTCATTTGGTCTATATGCTTGAATAGAGAACGGGTAATGAAAGGAAATAAAGAAGAAGCCGACATTAAATTTTCTCATATTCTTTTGATTTCGTCACTGACCGGCCCCAACGAAATGAACTCAAGCCGACTAAGATAAAAAACAAAAATCAAACAAACAAAAATAACAGAAAAAAAAAAGCAAGAGAAAACAAAACAGAAAACGAAATTTATTTTCATAAGGATTGGCTCACATCTTGAAGAATAATATGCGGAAAGAAATATGTGAGGTGCGACACGGCTTCACTGGTAGGGTTGGCGCTGTGGAACAGCTACGGTTCGGTAGGAAGGGTTAGAAGAATAAAAGAGAATGAAAGAGAAAACACCTGGGCTGTTTGCACCAAAGACACACGACAGGTTACCAATGCATGCAAAGGCATTGGATACACATAAAAAGGTGAGGGGAATATGAACAGCGCGTGCTAGTTTTATGTAGTACGGAATTTTGCCAATACCCAGTGTGAGCGGTACTCTGTGAACCAGAGCGCAAAATCAAGTAAGGGTCTTCAAAAGACAGTGGAAATTGGGTGTGATTTTTTTTTCCGCTCAAATTTCTCAAAATAATGCGTCCTCGCTCCATATATGTGTCAACGTAAATATTTTTACAGTCAAATCTCCCAAAGTTTTTAGTGGTAGCATTTGTTTTCACATATTATTCAATGACAAATAATGACAGTAAAATGAGTCAGGGCCGGGTTTATATATATATATATATATATATATATATATATATATATATATATATATATATATATATATACACCTTCAGACAAAATTTCTTCATATATATATATATATATATATATATATATATATATATATATATATATATATATATATATATATATATATTTACATTTTTAAGACTATATTTCTTCAGAAAATATATATATATATATATATATATATGAAGAAATATAGTCTTCAGGTGTGCTATATTTATAGGATAAACTGCTCAACATCAGAGATAGAGCGTGTGTAAATATAAAAGTGAACATCGAAGTCAACAGGCTAGACGCAATCGTTTCATGCTGACGATTGGGTCTCGCATGAAACAGACTGTCGCCTCTAAGTGTTGACTTCTATGTTCACTATATATATATATATATATATATATATATATATATATATATATATATATATATATATATATATAAGCACATTACATTGAAAACGACAGACAAGGTGCTTTTATTTAGTTTTTTATACAATTTCTCATGCGATCTAATAATTTTTTTCTTTTCGGATGATAAATCATATAAAAACAATGTTCTTTTTATCCGAGCGCTTTCGGCTATACATTTAGCCATTTTAAAGGATTATATTTTAACTGTTAAAATTAGAAATAATTTGTTGTATGTATGTTTTATAAAATGTTTTCATTTTTTCTTGTTTCAAAACACGGTCAAGATATTATGTCCATGTTCAAAGTTAATATTATTAAGTGTTGGCTTGTTTGTTTTTATTAATAAGGCTTCCATTATTTTTAGATTTTTTTTTTGTTGCATAATATCTTCTTCCTTCTTCTCCCCTTAGCTATGGGTAAATAGCAGGACAGACCGAGTTCTAACCAACGTCTTTATCCACATGGCCCAATGGATGAAGACGTTAGTTAGATCTAGTGAATAGATCGAAAGAGTTGTGAATTCAGTTCCAGGCAACAGCAGTGGTGAAGCAAAACAACTTGGAGAGTTGAATTATAGGAAATAACTGAGACATCCGGAAGCGACATGGAACGTGGAACTAGAATAATCTTCCCCGGTGGGCCAAATAAAGAGTCCGGTTCGAAATTCCAGTCCTCTGAAGAAGGTCGGAGCATACAACAGCCGAAACGTTTCGAACAAGACAATGCAGATGAGGAAAACAGTCCGAATAATGTAAATAATGCAAGTAATCATAATACCTCATCTCAGAGATATAGACAGATATTGTACAGTTATGTTACGTTGTGAATATGGCAATGAAGATGAGGATAACAGTCCGAATAATGTAAATAATGCAAGTAATCATAATACCTCAACTGAAAGATCCAATCACCTGAAGAAGACAGACAGACACTGCTGAACGGATTTAAACAAAAATTAAAAATAACTTATTTATTTTCTTTTTAATGAAATACTTGAAAAAATCGAAGGCATTTTAAATTATTAATTATTATGAACTAGGTTTAATAACCGACAAGATGAGAAAAAAAAAACAAAGAAAAAAATAAGCAAACAAGAAACAGGAAACGAATCAAAATGGAGGACATAACAACTCTCTCTCTCTCTCTCTCTCTCTCTCACACACACACACACACACACACAATGAATTCTTTTGGGTCACTAGGCGCACCTCTTCCCAGTCCCCGTGACCGGATGAGTGAAATGACGTTCAATACCCGTTGTCCACCCGAAAAAAAATAGCGCATAAATAAAAAAAAAAAAAAAAAATCGGCATGATAATTAAGGAAACGAAGAAACGAACGGGTGGGAAAAAGTAAAGATGACAAATAAATTATTGGCCGTTTGATCTTGAATATTGGGCGGGTATACAGAAAAAGTAAAAAAAAATAGATCGCTGTTATAAAATTAGATACGAGTGTTAGGTAGAAATATGTAGGTCGAGCGTTAAAACATGTACGCAGTGGTCAGTGATCTTTAGACTGTTTCTAGTGCTCCGATGATCATTGGCACTACCATCATATATTTTACAATATAAACAGTGTCCTGTTTTTTTTTTGACGTTCTTCTTCTATATACCGTGTCCATTCAGGACGTAAGCGATCATGGCCCTCCACCTCTTCCTGCCCCTTTTAGTTCTTAATAAGTTTTGTCTTTTTGTTATTTCTTCCAGACACCTGTTCTGCCATCGATTTGTTCAAGCCAATTAAATATGCCACGCGTTGCTTTTCTGGTGTCCTTCTTTCCCTCTATCCGTCCTTTGAGTATCAGATTTTCCAAGCCCTCCTCCCTCATTAAGTATCCTAAAAATTTCAACTGCTTATGTTAAGTATAAGTTTCCCTCACATCTTCAGTCCATGGTATTCTTAGCATCCTTCTGTAGAATCACATTTCTGTTGCTTCGAGTCTCGTCTTCATCTTTGAGGAGATTGTTCAGCATTCGCTGCCATACAATAAGACAGATATGCAACAGTTCTGTACTCTTTTGTTTGCTTCCAACGAAGTTTTCCTGTCTCTTAATACTCTGCTTAGCTTTAGGAATGCATCTTTGACCATCCCAATGAGTTTTCGGATCTCAGTGCTGTCCTCTGTTAGAACGATTCCCAGATATTTAAATTTCTGTATCTGCTTGATTTTAGTATCCCCGACCTTTTTGACGTTAGAGATAGGGTAACATCGAAAGTTAGTGTTTCTCTTTGATTAGATTGTGGAAACGAGGCGGTGAGGTGAGATCGCTAAATAGACAGAAGTCGGCCATCTTTATAATCAGCTATTTTCCTTCGTCTCCCGAGACGAATGGGAAACTTATCGAATTTGTAGAAGTAATTGACGTGACCATGTATCGTCACGGAGAGTAAAATGTAAGATCTTTCTGCTTGAGTGAAATCTCCTCCGATTCCTGCCCCACCAACAACTCTCAGGTTTCAATGTGACCCCTCCCTACATACAGAAGAATAAACAAAGACAACCTCCGAAAATAGACGCTCCCATAAAGGTAAAAATATAGCAATACAGAGGAAAGTCCATTTACTTACAAAAGTCTACATTTAATAACATGCTGAGTGTATATATATATATATATATATATATATATATATATAATCTTATAAATATAGTTAAGTATACTCGTCTGGAAATGCTCTTAGGTTCGTAGTATATATATATATATATATATATTATAATAATATTTTTTGTTTAAAAATATGATTCCTTCGCTACATAAGAGTTCTCATGTTTCAAAAACAAGAGTTGAAATCATCCAAATAATTATTAAAATTAAGTTGGATTGTGGAGAAAACGGGACTAAACACCACAATCCAACTTAATTTTAATAATTATTTGAATGATTTCGGCTCTCGTTTTATAATATAAGCTCTACTTCTGTATGGAGCACTGTCTTCTTAAAAATAAAACAAAAATACTAAGGAACCCCGGATTATGCACCCAACGTGTTCTTTTCTATTTTCTGCATACCTACTTATATATATATATATATATATATATATATATATATATATATATATATATATATATGATTGATTGATTGCTTTGTTATAAGTTATTGATTGTTTATTTGTGTTTATGGGTGCATTCGTATAAGAAATAAATCCAAATCAATAATCAAGTAAATAATAAACAAATAAAAAAAACTACAAATGCACATATAAGCACAAGTAAACGTAATAATAACAAATAATAAAGAAATCAATAATAACGTTAAAAAAACAACAATACTATAAAATAGCCACAACCCTACATTCGGATCCATAATTATTTCCACCCGATACCCCTAGAATAATTCGAAAAATAACCTTTACCACTCACCCAATAACCGTTAGAATAATACAATAAACCTACCCAGACTGTTCACATCTATCTATCTATCTATCTATCTATCTATCTATCTATCTATCTATCTATCTATCTATCCCAGCCTCTTCATTATCTATCTATCTATCTATCTATCTATCTATCTATCTATCTATCTATCTATCTATCGATCTATCTCTCTTCATTTTCTATCTATCTATCTATCTATCTATCTATCTATCTATCTATCTATCTATCACAGCCTCTTCATTATCTATCTATCTATCTATCTATCTATCTATCTATCTATCTATCTATCTATCTATATTTGCCCATATCTATCTATCTATCTATCTATCTATCTATCTATCTATCTATCTATCTCAGTGTGTCCATTATAAATTTATGTTCTCTCTCACTATCATATTCTTTTCATTCGCCCTCTCTCTCTATGTACATATATTCTAATCTTAATGTCTTCCTATCTATCGATCTATGTTCATCTCTCTCTATCTCTCTTAGTCTGTTCATTCTATCTCTCTCTCTCTCTGAATATATATATATATATATATATATATATATATATATATATATCTACATATATATTATATATTTATATTATACATATATTTATATACATATATTATATATATACATAAATATTACACACACACACACACACACACACATATATATATATATATATATATATATATATATATATATAAATCGATTCTCCTGTCGGGTTCGACGTATGAGGGTCAAGTAGATCAGTTTCAAGGAAACTGACAGCCTGACACCGGCACATGAGATGTGATTATAGTGGTGAAGGTTTCGTGCAGGCCATCCACATTTTTTGAAGGGACGAATACAGAGACCTGGTGCACTACGTGCCACAAGGTTCCCAAGCAACCCCCACCCAGGTTTTGAATTCAGAGTTATATATATATATATATATATATATATATAATACCTGACCACTCGTATTCGAGGATATACGTTTACTAGGGTGGCTAGCCAGTCCCTACTGCAGACGCTCTCTCAGGCACATTTATGTTTGGTCAACACCCAAAGATCCCAACATGTGATTTATACTGCAACTACGCTGAGCAGACCTCAGTTACAGTTTCTGGGAGAGAACGTGTTCAGCAATCTGAAAACGGCCAGCACACTCACACCCTCGGTCATGATGACTTGTGACTTTGTGCTAGCAGTGCTAGCACAGCTATCGAGAGTTCCCCAAGTATTTGGTCTACCGAATATCACTCACAAGGCTTGAGTCAACGTGTGGTATGGTTTTCAGGCACTCCCCAAAAGTGCCGCAAGCTGGGATCGATCTCGATCCAGTTCGATAAGATCAGGAAGTCTCCTTCGTAACAAATCAACCATGGTGAGATTTAAACCCGGGTCTCATTGTCAGAAAGTGAACATATATATATATATATATATATATATATATATATATAGAGATAGATAGATAGATGTCAAAGTGGACACTGAGATCAACAATGAGGGGTCCAACTTGATGGTCTAAAGATTGCGTTTAAGCATGAGACAGATTGTTGCCACTCAGTGTTGGTCTCAGTGACCCCTTTTATATTTTTTTATACGTTTTATCTCTGATATTGAGCACTTTCACATTAGCATCCTAAGAGTCCACCCAGTTTCACTCACAAGGCTTGGGCCAGCGCGTGGTATGGTTTTCAGGCACTTGGGAGCCGTCGATGTCCGTGATAGCACGAAGTCGGAAGTCACCGTGACCGAGGTTTTGAGTGTGCTAGCCTTGTTCAGACTGCTGATCACGCGAGATAACGCGCACTCTCCCAGAAACTGTAACTAAGGTCCGCTCTGCATAGTTGCAGAATAAACTAGAGGTTGGGCTCTGTGCCTTTTGAACAAACACAAATGTGACTGAGCAGGTGTCTGCAATGGGGATTAACTAGCCACCCTAGTATATTGGCATCCTCGGATACGAGTGGCTGCGCCATTTACATTTTATACATTAGCATACATTAAAATTATATTTGTATCATACGCACACACACACACACACACACACACACACACACACATATATATATATATATATATATATTTATATTTTAAGACATTTTTATGTTTATACATTCTTTTTATAGATAAATATTTAAGTAAATACTCTGTTTATAATAAACAGTATTAAACAACATTAAATATTTGTATCTATAAAAAGAATGTATAAACATAAAAATGTCTGAAAATAATTTTCGGACTTTGTCCATTTCATGATGTGTGACGTCATATATATATATATATATATATGTATATATATATATATATAATTGTGCATTTGGGTAGTAACTCCTCTTTTATACAGGTTTCATGGTAGATAACTGACGATTATGTTTTTCTTTATATTTTTTTTTGCATGCGTACACGATGTTTCTTTTAGGGGCATAGTTTGCATTGGAAATGTCCATATGATCTGCGGGTTCCAGCGCTTTCGGCTAATCTATTAGCCATTATCAAGGATGTTTTGTTTGCCTTAATATATAGAGTGTGGTGGTAATTGT